AGGGATGGCGGCGTGACTATCCCCCCGGGGGGTGATTTCTCGCTTTCTGTCTCTATGTCTCTCTCTGTCTGTCTGGCGAGCGCACGCGCCCTACAATAAAAATCTCTCAAAAAAAAAAAAATGGGTCTGGATTATTATTTTCACCATTCTCAAAGGACAGAAGACTGTTTTAAAAGATAACAATATTCAGTTGGTAATAAGACTGGCAAATGTAAAAACTAGAGGTAAGAAACCAAATTTCAATGAATTAGTATCAGTTTAAAAGTTGCCTTCCAGCTAAAGAAACTAAACAAGTAAAAAGAAAATTTCCTGAATTTGTGAAATGCTTTTCTAGCTCCAAATCTTAACACTTTGGTCTTTGGTCTCACAGTTGTTTACATATCTCAAACACCAGGAAGGTCAAAACTTAGCCGCACAGAACAGAGAGGTTAAGCTAAGGACCACTCACCTTTGATTCACGACTCTTTGGGGGACTGATTTTAATACGCACACACTGAGCCTGAACCCCCCTGTGCTAATTCTCGTGAGAACTTCTGTTGTACGAGGAGACATCATGAACAAATAATTAGCAAATTAAGATCTGTGAGCACTCGGAAGACATGTGGCTACCCCGACCCAGTAGTTTGCCTTTGCCTGAGCAGACATTTTAATGAGTGTGTGTGGATGAATAGTCATCTTACCTGCCATGTCCTTCACCCCAACAGAGAATCATCAGGTTAAATTTTCCATTTCCTTGATCCACAAGATTTCGGGTGTATCTACAACAAGAGAACGTATTCAGAAGCTTGAATTTGGTAATAGAAACCAGCACCAGGAAAAGTTAAGTGTGTCACAAAATACCATTCATTCCCGAATGTCAGTATTTCTACTTCTGAGCAACTTGAATGTGCTTTTCTAGTTAGAAATCCAGCGCAAATGAAAATGATCTTTTCAGTTCAATCTGGACATGTATTTTCAATGACTTCATTTACAGAGGCAGCTGCTCAGTTTAATTAATGGCATGGGGGAAGCGGATTCCACAACATGTCTCCCCATTCACAGCCTGGAATTGATAAGGAGAGCAAACTGTTTCCACAGACAGTATTTGCAAAGTGCACGACTGCTCTAGCTAAGAATGCGGCTATTGTCTGGGGGTTTCCTCCCAGTAGCTCAATCAGGACTTAAGAAACAAGGTTTCATTAGATAACTGTTCTAGAATTCTCCCTAGGTTTACTAAAGCCTGGACACAGATCATATTCAAAAGCACTCATAATAAAATGTTCTCGAATAGGCTAAGGACTGACCCAAGTACCAGGACAAAGGAGACGGAATGTGGGAAGTAAAGAACACTAAACCACTTACAGTGAGAAGAAACCAGTTATTGGCAAAAAGGTGGGGGGGGGGAGTCGGAAACCCCAACAACCAACAACCACCATAACCATTCTACCAAGAAAAAAAAGCAACTTTCAAGTTTCTGTTGGTCTAAGGGTCCTACTGAAACCATCTAATCAGCAAAAGTTTGAAATGATGACATTCATCTAGACTGTCACTTTTAAGAAAGGGATACCTACTCCCCCTTTTGTACGTTTGTTCACTTGGTCATCTGTTCACTCGTGTCCTGTCCCTTCGGTCCTGTCCCTTCCCTCCCCCTGGGCTCAGGGCCAGTGCCTGCAGAGCCTGATCCTCCAGGCCTCTGCTGAGCAAGTGCTTTTCAGCTGTCCGTCTTCCTTATTCCCAGCTCATTCTGACCTAGCAAGGGCTGTGCACGCAGCCTTTAATTCACTATAAACCGGGCTTCTGAACCAGGACCCTACCCTTCTCTTCACCAGACTTGGGGTCACCTCTTACTCCTGAGGCTTCTTCCAGAGAATTTATGGTCTGGCCCATCGCTGGAACATGTACTGTCTTGATTCTTCTGCAATGACCTCCCAAGGTCAAAGAGCAGGACCTTTACGGAACAGGCATCCACTCCATGCAACAAGTACGGCAGAATGATTTCTGCTTCCCCATTTCCCTCCCTCCTGCCCACTCAAGATGACACCATTATCTTTATCAGCTGTACCTCAGAAACCTGCTCGCAGAACAGATCCATCAGGCCAACTGGCTGCATTCCAGGGGGCTAGAGCTGTCAATCTAGACTAATTTGAGCCTCCTGAAAACGGTTTTGTTCTTCTATATTTTTCTAGAGACAGGGTCTCTCTCTGTTGCCTAGGAACGACTGATGCCCCGCCTGAGCCTTTCAGTGGTGGGATTACAGGCGGAAGTCACTGCACTTGGTGGAGCTGTCCCAGCCCACCCTGGATGCTGATCCGCTTGGCCCTGACATACCTACTCAGACGAAGCTGTCAGTGTCCTGTGTCTGGAGGAAGTTTAACAGGGGTTCAGCCCGAGTTTTGGAAACAGCAGTACTAAGGTGAACCCTGGAGCTGATACTTAGAAGCAAGACCTGGCAAGTTATCCAGCCCCTTCACTGCCTGAGCCCCTAAGTCAGCCGACACCTGTTTTAAGGTGAAGTGACTAGGAGTGCCAGGTCCACAGTGAGCCCTCAACCACCTGGAGCCAATGCAGGTGAGTCTTAAAACTAGACTCTGCCACAGGTTTGACAGCCACAGATGGACCTGCCCCAGAACCAGCTGATGGGAGCTAGAGGAATTTCCTAAAGCCACTTGCAAGTGGAAATGAGATTCTCAGTGGGACTCACTTTTTCTCTAATACTTGGGAACCTAAGATACAGTTAAAGCAGTACCTTCTAAAAAACCTGTGCCAGCAGGTGATGTGATGGGTAAGGCGCTGGATCCCACATAACTGACTATGCAGTTGAGGCCCGATCTGGTTGCTTGAAAATCTCACCAGGCATCTGTGCCCAAAACCCTGAGAGGAGAGGTAAATGGAGGAGCCGGGGTTGCAATGAGGCCATCCCCGCCCACCCCACGGTGTGTGTGTGTGTGTGTGGCGTGTCTTACGCTCGGTCTTCTCTCCAAGGCTCAGCCTTACAGCAAAATCTAAGCAAACTAAACCATGAAAGTTTACCAAACCTCCTTACCTGTTGGGGAGAAGGGACTAACAGAAACTGCTCCGAAGGCAAAATGAATTCTTTGCTCTTTCTCCCCCAACTCCTCCCTATCCCCACCCTCAAGGCATCCAACTTTGGAGGAGAGCGCTGGCTGTCTTCCAGAGAAGCAGGACCTCTCACCCTTCGGGGCTAGACTGCATGCACTGCGGCCCAGAAGATGGCGGGTTCCCCGATCTCCACTTAATCACCAAGCCCGCGGCAAAGGCCCTGGCTACCAGGACACCGCGGAGCACGACTGGGAAGCGGTGGTCTTCAGCTTACATCTCAGAGCCTCGAACGAAGGATAAGAGAAAGCAGGTCGTTTGGGAGCTGACAAAACTGCGGTCGGCCGTGCGTTTAACTCACAAAATCTGAGAGAAGGTCTGAATAAGCCCGCAGTTGGGGGAGGTTAAATTAGTCCGGGAGGGGGGACGGCAGCAATGGGACACTGGCGGCTGACCACCCCTAGCCACCGTTTCACAAAAATGCGCGGTGGCAGGTGCCTGCGCTTGCAGGCGACAAGGCAGAGGATGGAGCAGACCAGGGACGATCAAGCCTCCAACGTCACCTTTCTCCCGACAGCTGGGAGGCGCTCCGGGAGTCCCCATCGCTAGGAGGTTCTTGAGGGCGGCAGGCGGGCTCCAGCCTGAGAGCGTGTGGCCATGGTCTCCCCTCGCTCCTGGTCCGGGGCGGGGACACTGCTCGGGAGGCCGGGGCCGAAG